CGGTATTCTGTCACGGGTGCACTGCTGAGCGGACTGAGGAGCAAGGAACGGAGAGAGACGAGGAGTACATTAATCCAAATGGGTTAAATTAACACAAAGGAACACTCACGCTATACATGACATGAGCATTCACATACATACAATACCGGACGCTGGAGCACACACAGGGAACACTATTTATACACATGACAGGATGAGACTGATAGATTCAGCCGTTTCTTTAGTACATAACCGACTGTGTTTCCTGGGATATTTACCAAGACATGCATTTTCATGTAATTTTGTCTGTTCATTCAAGCACAAAAGCGAAAGAGAACTCAATTCAGTATTCATGTGCTGTCTGAAGATTTCTGTGTAAACAATTTTTTTTTTAATAATAAAATAAAAGAATTCCATTTTAAAACGATTCATCATTATTACTCCTGCAATTAATATTTAAGTAAATTCAACCTATTTTTTTATCCACTCTACTCTTTTTGCCAAGAAGTGGAAGAATCTCTCTCACAAGCCTGCTTTGGTGACCAACGATTGCCAATCCTCCTCTGGTTCCACTTCACCCCGCATCCAGTTTTAGTGAAGCATTGGGTTTCGATCACTTCCTGACAAGAACACACAACCCCTAGTGGCACTCTGGCCCTCAGAAATGTTAACCGTTTTCAGGGTTTCAATGCTCAAACGCAAGCAGAAGAACAAGAATCATGCAATGAAAATGTTCACCAAGTCTAGCCTTAATCTGCTGCTTCACCTCTGGTGAGGTCGGAGGTTCATCACAGATGTGGCAGAAGCTAACATCCCCATTAGTTGCAGATAGGGTTGCAAAGGGGTGGAACATTTCCTGTAAATTTCCGGAAACTTTCCAAAAATCCCTGTAATATTCCCAAAAAATCCCGCAAAGTTTCCAAAATTTTTGGAATGTTTCTGAATTTTACTGGAAATTTTCCACCTTTTTGCAACCCTAGTTGCAGAAGCCATGAGGAATTTTTGTCCCTAGTCGGAAGCGAATCAGTAAGAGACTAATATTGTCTTTCTGAGCATGTGACAATGTTGCAGACATAAGAGAAATTAAAAGAACATTCAGAAAATGCATTTCCACAACTAAGCCTTATCTAGCAGAATGACAGTGAGCCCACAGTGACATGACCCACCTCTCAATGTTTGTATCACTATACTGAAGCTCCACCATGTTGCTCTGTTACCTCCATGGTGCAATCTGGAAAATGTTATACTTTGTGCACTTGATAATCAAGCTGATGCTCCCTTCATACGTTGTTTATCAGAAAAATCCTCAAAAAATTGCTTAATCAGATCCACCATAAATTTTCCAGCTCCCACTGCAGCCTTTTTGAACTTGAAAAGTGTCTTTAAGTTTATTAGATTAGATCAGATTGTTAAGAAATAGTTTTTCTTTCAATCTTAGGCCATCTTCTCAATTAGCCAGTGCCATGTTGTCAGTAGCAATAGCTTTTGAGAAGATTTGACACCTTGACAAAACTTAGGGTATTAACTAAAATTTAGGATGCTAACTAACATGTAGCCCATTTAAAGTGAATTATTTTTAGTTTACAATTTTGTGAACCTGATGTAGGGGAGTTTAGTGAACACATCTACGCCCTACACATCCAACTCCACAACGCTACTACCCCGATGCAAATGTTCTTGAGAGCAGCCAGGCTTCTGTTTGTGACATCTGAGACTTTAAGACCTAAAACTAAAAAATAAATAAATAAATAAATAAATAAAAGAAACAATGTTCTTAAAATAATGGCAAGAGTTTTAGCATCTTCATTTTTAAAAAATGTTCAAAGAATCTTACATAGTCTTAAATGGTTTCTAGAGGCACATTAATTCATTTTCCATGTGTCTTTTGGCTTTTGCATCAGCATATATATACGACATTTATAAAATAGACTTCAGAAACACTATTTCTGAATTATTTACTGTAATAATAACTGTTTCTGAATGACTAACTATTACAGTAACTGTTATTTTCTCTATTGCATTGTCTTTGAATGTCAGTAAAACACTAATATTTTATTTAGTCCAAAAAGATGAAAGTCGTATGGGTCTTATGAACAACATGAGGTGAAGCAATTATGACAGGATTTTCATTTTTGTCATAATCACTTGTGAATGTGTTTATTTGTGTTACAGAGCAAAGAAGGCATTGACCTGCTGGAGCGCACACATGAGATATCAGAGAAGATCAAGGCCAAATGGATCAGCCCAGATGTGAGTCACATACATAATTGCCTTAACACTTTTTTTTTTCTTCTTCAAATTACCATTCTGCACTTAAAATCCCACACCTACTGCACCTGTCGCTTCTAGGCAAGTTCTTATACATTCCAGTATGTAGTGTTTTCTTTCTCCAAACATAACGCTGCTCATTTAAACCAAAATGTTCTATTTTGTCTCATCCATCCACAAAACATTTCTCCAGTATTCCTCTGGCTTGTCCACATGATCTTTAGCAAACTGCAGATGGGCAGCAATGTTCTAACAGTGTGTTTTAATGTTCTAACAGATGGGTAACAGTGGTCTTGAATTTCCTCCATTTGTACACAGTCTGTCTGACCGTGGACTGGTGGAGTCCAATCTCTTTAGAGATGGCTTTGAAACCTTTTCTAGCCTGATGAGCAACACCAACTCTTTTTCTGAGGTCCTTCAAATTAACTGCCAATCCTAGAGATTCACATACTTTTGCCACTCACAGATATGTAATATTGGATCATTTTCCTGAATAAATAAATGACAAAGTATATATTTTCATCTCATTTGTTTAATTGGGTTCTCTTTGTCAACTTTCGGGACTTGCATGAAAATCTGATGATTTTTTGGGTTATATTATACAGAAATATAGACAATTCTAAAGGGTTCACAAACTTTCAAGCAACACTGTATATTCCAAGCAGCCATCAATCAGTGCCATGATGATCCTTACATGACCCCTGATTCTGTTACTCTTTGTTTTTGATTATATGATTATTACTATTAGGACTGGGTATCGATTCAGATGTTCCAATTCGATTCGATTTTCAAGCTCTCAATTCGATTCGATTTCGATTTTCGTATTTTGAAGAATATGGATAACCAAACTGTTTTGGTCCCCATTGACTTCCATATATTTTTCTCCATACTATGGAAGTCAAGTCAATAGGGCCCATCAACTGTTTGGCATATAGCTTTGTTCTTGTCCACAGTATCTTTGTCATCGTGCTTGCGAAATCTAAAATGATTCCATACCTCTGACTTTTTATGTGAAGGTGGTGGACGTCGGGAATGCACCTGAATCCGCCATTTTAAGCAATGAATGAATGACGGACTCCCCGTTGTAACATCGCGCAAGGCAAATAAGGGGGTGACATCTAGTGGATTAGACTAGTAATAAGATTAACGTAAATCGTATGTTCAATGTTTGTGGAAATAAATATAGAAAAAAATCGATTCGTGGCCTTCGAGAATCGATATTGAATCGACCACATTTAAAAAAACGATATATCGAAAAATCGTTTTTTTTGCCCAGCCCTAATTACTATATAGGTTTGTTGTCAGAGGTTTGTGTAGCTGGTTTCAATTTAGCTTGTCTTTTACCTTACAGCCAAAGTAATCCTTCTTAAGCCTCTCAGTGGTTTATTTTTAAAGGGAAATGTTTGTTAATGTTTCAGATGAGTGTAGAAGAGCTGGAGCAGTATGTGAACCAGCAGTTCGATGAGCTGAATAGGCTGGTTCGCCTGGAGGAGTGGAGTGTCCTGCACCTGGTGGATCTAAAGGAGGCGTTCCTCACTGCCCAGGCTGCTGAGAAGATTTCTGAGATTAGTGTCCACACTGAAAAACTGCAGGAGGAAATGGATTCTATCACACAACAGCTGAGTGAACTGGATCAGACAGAGCAGAATGGAGTCGCCCCTATGTCCCTGGCCCCACTGTTGGCCGCTAGACCATCACGTCCACCTGAAGCTCTTGTGGAGCGCATGCCACTGGTTAGTCTCTTTTTGTTTATATATTGCGTTTCTTAATGCACATTATTTCAGAGTAGCTTTACAGAAAAAAAAAAAGAGTAATATTCGGTAAGGGTGTCGAAAGTAATCGTTTCTTCGATGCATCGCGATGCAGACGAGGACGAATCAGTATCGGTTCAGTAATAGACCATAACCGATTATAACGTACTGACGCTTTTCTGACGTCATTTGTCGCATACGTGCTTTGTCGCGGTAGCATACATTAGGCGCGTTCGGCTTGAAGCGCTGCTGCGCAGAATGATCAGTGTATGACCAAGTACCGCGAGAGCGATAAGAGAGCAGATGGATCCTTATGCTTTCGCGGTTGATGTCATACATTCATCCTGCTGCTTCAAATCGAAAGCGCCTAATGGCAGAGGGAGGCGAGACGCGAGTGCGAGTAATTAAAAATGCTCCAACTACTTTAAAAGCCGACATCTGGCCACATTTCGGCTTTTATGAACAACCTGGTAAGCACGACCTGGAGAAGACACGCTGTGTGTAAATCATGTCACGCACAGTGAAATATGTAGGGGGTAGGGATGGGCAAATTAATTACTTATATGACTGGGTATCTAAAATGTAACTGAATAAGTCCGAATTAAAACTTATTCGTAAAGTAAGATCTGGGGGATCGAACATTTCGACACGCAAAGTGAATCACGCACGTGACTGGAAAGTGAAGCTTCATTTGTCATTGGTCACGTGATTTCTATGACAATTAACAACACAACACAAGCTTCGAATCGAGGCTTTATCTAGCACGCCCATTTATTCTCGACACAAGCTCCGATACCTCGGTTCAAATGTCACATCACTAGCGGGGGTAATACCACTAACTTAAGAAACCAGATCAGGTACAGTTCATATATCTGACTGCTTGTATTTATTGACAAAATTGTATAAATGTGAAGTAAAATTGAAAATTGAGGATGCATTGCATTGTCAATGCATTGTGATGCATCATGATATCGTATTGAACCGAATCGATGACATGATAATAGTAACCGAACCGAACCGTGAGACCAGTGTAGGTTCACACCCCTAATATTCGGGGAAGAGGTTGAGTACATTTACACATTTGCCAGATCCTTTTATCCAAAGGGACATTTCATTCAAGGTATACATTTCCTGGGAATCAAACCCATAACTTTGGGATTGCTAGGGCCATGCTCCACTGTTCAAGCTACAGGAATGCAAGTATGAGTCATATATTAGTTAGGGAAACTCAGATATATTTAGTCAATGTAACTGAAGGATATTGATCAATATGTAATTAATTGCTTATAAGGTCCATCCCATATTGTTTTCTGAGGTGGTCAAAGATAACTGGCGGTTGTTCATTCATGTATTCTCGAAGTCCCTAAGATCAATCATAGTGGTCCATGCAGTCATCAAGCATCGGAGAGGGGGTCATGCTGGACCTGATACAGGCATCATGTCAGCATTTCATAGTTATATTAATGTTATTCATGGAAATAAATTTTCACAAGGCTTTTGTAAAAATGAGAAATGTTCTTTATTTGTGTCTTCCTTGTTAGCATTCCCTGTCAATACAGTTTGTGGTGCAGAGATGAGTCATGGACTAAATAAAAGACTACATTAAAAAAAGAGAGAGAAAGAAAGGAAAAGGAAGCTACAGAAGGGCAGACAACTTATGACTATTTTCAGATGAAAGGTGTGCATTTGTTATGCAATTTGAAAACTGCTGGAACGTGAGAAAAGCAATCACTTTACAGTTACTTGATATGGACAAGACTTCAGCATTACATATTTGCATCAACAGGTATTGACAGGCACCAGTAAAATCAGTCTGGAGAGGCCTTTGGATGTATCCCTACATTTAGCCTCCAGAAATCTCACATTCAGGGTAGAACATCAAATTTTGATGTTGTCCATATTAATGGCAGCTTTCTTGTTCTCAGACTGTGATCTTCTGCATGAGCATTGTGAAAAGTAAGACATACTGCAAAAAGATCCTGGGTTGTCTTGCTTCACGCTTCACACTGCTTATAATTTCCCCGGGGTTATTCTGGGTATTCGTAAACTGACGTTTCACTTTGCACATTCCTAAACCCTGGGTAAATACTGTCGGGTTTTTCCTGAACATACTTTTTGGACTATAATATAATATAATAATAAGAAAATAAACTGTAAGAATAAAACGGTCTCTTCTTCGCTCCAACTGATGCGTTTCCTATCACCATTTGACACTTTTCTCCTCAAACACTGAAACTACAGTTTATACAACACGCAGTGTTTCTATGTCTGTCCAAAGCACAAGAACACAAGTCACTCGATTGGGTGTCCATTGCTAAGCATCTAGCTGTAACATGCACTTAGTAATTTGAGTTTCAAAATTCAGATCACATCAGAAATATGTGAAACGTTTCCTCCCATTCGATCTCATTTTAAAGCTGAGAAAAATGAATGAAGCTCGGATAATTAAAACAAGTCTGGCACCAATAAGAAATGTTTTTATTTATTTATTTTTTAATTTAATAATTTAATTTGGCTACACTAAGTATTCGGATTTACGTTTATGGAATTACTTTTGTGTCTTTTTTATGCAATCAAACATACTGTGTTTGAGAGAAAAACAAATTATATTGTACCGTATTGGCCCGAATATAAGACGACCCTGATTATAAGACAACCACCCTTTTTCCAGATGTACCTTTTGGAAAAAGGCTTTTTAAAAACCAAATCTAGTTTTTTCTCAGTAAAACACATTTTGTCTTCAATTATTTTCATATTGCATATTTTTCCTATTTTAACTTTTGTTTTGAAAGTATGGTAAAAAAAAAAAATGTACCAACAACCACATTAAAAAAATATACACTTAAAAAAAAAAAAAAAAAAACACGTAGCCCATCTGAATTAGGACATTTAGGCTATCCATCTAATAATAATTACCAAAATCTTATTAAGAGTAGAAGTTAAATCTTACTGTAGTCTTCAAATCTGGGTACTGCCTTACGTTTTAAAATCACAAAGGGAGTTTGGTCCCATCAGGCTAACGTGACAGTCACGACTCATGCAGCTGTAAGGTTTTCTTACTCTTTTGTTTTAACTTGCGATCTTTACAACACGCATTACATTACGTATTTCATGGCACACTCGTTTTATGCGAATTTGGCGCCACCTATTGTTGTGGGTGTATTATTGACATGTCAAAGTCTAGACCCTGAATATAAGACGACCGCGTTTTTTCAGATGTTATTTACAAGAAAAAAACATCGTCTTATATTCGGGTCAATACGGTAATTAAAAATAAATAAATAAATAAAAGATTCCATATAAAAATTCTTGCTAAGAATTTTTTTAATTACAAAAATTAAGTAATTGATAACAAAACTCTTTGCATTGCAAATAAATATTCTATGCAGTTTAAACACTTTTCATTACACACCCATATATTTTAGGAAATGCATAGAATATTTATTTGCAATGCAAAGAGTTTTGGGTAACACTTATAGTATAGGGGCCATTTCTCACTATTAACTAGTTGCTTACTAGCATGCCTATTATTAACCTATTGACTGTTTATTAGTACTTATAAAGCACATATTCTGCATGAACATATTCTACATCCCTAATCCTACTGTAGTGTCTGGACCAATCAGACACACAATTTTTTTTTAGTTATTTAACAAATACTCTGTAACACCCCTCAGTCAACAAACCAACTATGAGGGTCTATGGACCCTTCCCCCGAAATGCATTTAACACCTCAGAAAGGCAGAACAGGCCTCTGGTTCCATGGCAACCAATGCTGATATCACTGGTTTTATTGCCCAAAAGAATGCGGGCAGAGAAACTCACAATTCATTTACCCTTAGGAAAGACAAACAATGCCCATAAAAATTGACTCTTCACTAATTAATTCATAGAAAAACCTTTCTGTGAATGAACACACATCTCCTCAGGACATTGTGTATACTATTACTGTTCTTGTATATTGTCTTTTGAATTGTATACTGTTTTGTGTGTGTGTTATGATAGATCACTAGTTAATATAACCCCACCGATACCATGTTTGGTCTCTTTGAATTTGTCTTCTGATGATCTAAACGA